GAAATGACTACTTTCTTTTTTATTTTGCGTTTTCCATACTGTCCTAACTTTTTTTTCTGATTCGGGGTTGTATTTACTGAGGGTTGCCACTTTTAATACAAAAAAATCGGACGCATACTGCAGCGGGGGCCACATCCCCAATCACAGGCCCAACAGCATGTCAGTGGTGGTAAATCGCAACTTTAAATATGTTTTTAGGAAAGTATAAACACTCTTTTACAACTATGCAGCACTGATATAGCTGATGTTATGTTTAAAAGTGTGGTACACCTAGTGCCGAGTTCAGACTGCATGATTTTCAAAGTAGTCAAGTCACAGATGTTTTCACACTGCATGACTACCTGGGCTTGCGTTTTGTATACACTGCAAGATAGATCAGCGACAGGGGGTTTCACATTGCATGACTTTACAATAAAAAGAATCGCAGACAACTTTGTCCAAACTACGTCTCACAGCCAAAAACACGTAGTATATGTTTTGTTATTGACTACATAACGAGAAAGAAGCCTTTAATGGGGTAGAAAATGTACATATTTGCTCACCTGGGTTTGAAGGGAATTACCAATTTCTCCTCAACTTTCTTTTTTAACTTTCTGTATGACACTTCAAACAGACACAGGTGCTCCTGTCAAACCTCCACTAGTTTTTCCTCCATTTCTTGGGTCCAAATAAACCAAAAATTAACGCTTATAACTTCTCCCCCAACCTTCTGCTGGCCTGCAGGTATCCACACTAGTGAATGCTGCTCTCTCATTGGCTGTAGGCGATCGCCAAGGTTATTTTCTGCCAAAACTCATTTCACATGGCAGGGTTTGAATCGCCGACAGCTCCAGATATTTAACATTCCAAATATCTCACAGACATCAGTGACTCATTGGCGATTCTCTCAGATCGCGTCTTTGATAGTTCATAATATGTGATTGTCACTCACGTGCACGAGCACCGATTTGCCTGTGATTTCAGGCATTTGTCGGCGATTTCTCAAAACCTGTCGGCGAGTCAAAATCGGGGCTAAAATCATGCAGTCTGAACTAGGCATAAGTTAACTCAGCTGCTGTAACCCAGAGGAGAGAAGAAAATACTAATGAACCTAATTTTAAAGGGTGGAATTGATAACAGATTTTGGCTAAAATATTTGTCATTATTCGCAGCAACTCCTATCCAAGCATGGAAACATAGGCCGACATAAACTAGCTACAAACATTAGCTAGTACAGCTTTCAAATAGCCTATGTTTTTATTTAAAAATATGGAAAGTTGCAATTTACTAGTTTATTTTCTTTTCACGGGCATTATGTTGTTTATTAATGTATTAAATGTATTGTTTCATGTAATAAATTAATGCTTATGTGCCTGACCTAACCTTAACAAACAAATCATAATATTGCATTGGAATATTTACATTTACATTTAGTCATTTAGCAGACGCTTTCATTTAAAGGGACTTACAAATGAGGACAAGGAAGCAATTTACACTATTATAAGAGCAAGGGCAAGTTTCAGGTATGTAAAGTGTAAGAAACAAAACATTAGTAATTTTATTTATTTATTTTTAATACAGTTAGCGGTAGAACCAGAGAGGCAATTGCAGATTAGGAAGGGAAGTGGAGACTAAATAGTTGAGCTTATGGTAGATTCTTGAAGACAGCGGGTGACTCTGCCGTTCTAATGCAGTTAGGGAGTTCATTCCACCAACTGGGCAGATTAAATGCGAGAGTTCGAAGTGATGGGAATCGGGAATGGGAGTTCGGGAATATGACACTTGTATTTACAGAATTTTTACAAATTACAATTTGTGACCCAGTGTGTGAAAACCAGGCCAAATCTAACTTTGAGATAAAGTTTGATTGTAGTTATTCATTTCCCTGTGATTTCAGTTGTTGACATGGTTTTACTCAGAAGCATCTGCCACTACTCTCTGTCAAGACTTGACGGACTCGCTTAAAAGACCCACCCTCCTCACTGGACAAAGACCAATCAAACTAACAATGATATCAAGTATTACTCAATCAAAAGTAGGAAATGAGGCATCTTCATAACGTGTGTGCATGAAAAGCTACTTAAAAAAATTATAAAAAATATGGGACAGAACCCATCCTGTATTGATTCAAAATGGGATGCGCAATTTCATTCTCAATTACAGGACGATTTCGTATTTTAAGGGATGGGTGGCAACCCTAGTTGTATTAAAAAACACAATTCTTAACATGCTGCATTCATTCATTGATTTTCTTGTCGGCTTAGTCCCTTTATTAATCCGGGGTCGCCACAGCGGAATGAACCGCCAACTTATCCAGCAAGTTTTTTACACCGCGGATGCCCTTCCAGCCGCAACCCATCTCTGGGAAACATCCACACACACACTCATACACTACGGACAATTTAGCCTACCCAATTCACCTGTACCGCATGTCTTTGGACTGTGGGTGAAACCGGAGCACACGGAAAAAAAACCAACGCGAAGGTAGGGAGAACATGCAAACTCCACACAAAAACGCCAACTGAGCCGAGATTTGAACCAACGACCTTCTTGCTTTGAGGCGACAGCACTACCTACTGCGCCACTGCCTTGTCCAACATGCTGCATTTAAAAGTAAAAACAATATATAGCTCAACTATTTTTGAAAACAAGGCTCAGTTACAGTAAATAGTCAAGACTCATTTAAAGTTAATGCTTCTGAAACTGAAAATTAAACTGGTGTAAAGTTTAAAGGGACAAAAAAATAAATGTAAATAGAGTCATAATTTACTCACCCTTTACTTGATTCAAACCTTTGTGACTTTCCTGCTATTCTCAAACACAAAAGATGACATTTTGAAAAACCTGAAAGCTTTCTCTAAAATATTTTTTTTTAAAATTCAACAGAAGAACCTCGTGAAGGTTTGAAACCACTTGACGGTGAGTCAAACAGAATCTTTCTTTGGCAAACTATGCATTTACACTCACTTTATTAGGTACACCTGTCCAACTGCTCATAATGCTAATTTCCAAGCAGCCAATCACATGGCAGAAACTCAATGCATTAAGGCATGTAGACATGATCAAGAAGATCTGCTGCAGTTCAAACCGAGCATCAGAAAGGTGATTTAAGTGACTTGGTGTCAGACGGGCTGATCTGAGTATTTCAGAAACTGCTGATCTACTGGGATTTTCACGCACAACCACCTCTAGGGTTTAGGAGAATGGTTCGAAAAACATAAAATATCCAGTGAGTGGTAGTTCTGTGGGTGCAAAAGCCTTGTTGACGCCAGAGGTCATGGAGGAGAATGGACAGACTGGTTCGAGCTGATAGAAAGGCAACAGTAACTCAATTAAACGTTACAACTTAGGTATGCATCTAGAGCATCTCTGAACGCACAAAACATTGAACCTTAAGTCGGGTGGGCTACACCAGCAGAAGACCAAACCGGGTGCCACTCATGTCAGCTAAGAACAGGAAATTGAGGCTTCAATTCGCACAGGCTCACCAAAATTGGACAATAGAAGACTGGAAAATGTTGCCTGGTCTGATGAGTCTTAATTTCTGCTGCAACATTTGGATGGTGAGTCAGAATTTGGCATAAACAACATAAAAGCATGGATCCATCCTGCCTTGTATCAATGGTTCAGGCTGGTGGTGTTGTAATGGTGTGGGGGATATTTTCTTGGCACACTTTGGGCCCATTAGTACCAATTGAGCATCGTGTCAATGCCACAGCCTACCTGAGTATTGTTGCTGACCATGTCCATCCCTTTATGACCACCGTGTACGCATCTTCTGATGGCTACTTCCAGCAGGATAATGCACCATGTCATAAAGCGTAAATCATCTCAGACTGGTTTCTTGAACATGACAGTGAGTTCACTGTACTCAAATGGCCTCCACAGACATCAGATCTCAATTCAATAGAGCACCTTTGAGATGTGGTGGAAGGGGAGATTCACATCATGGATGTGCAGCTAACAAATCTGCAGCAACTGCGTGGTGCTATCATGTCAATATGGAGCAAAATCTCTGAGGAATATTTCCAGTACCTTGTTGAATCTATGCCACGAAGGATTAAGGCAGTTCTGAAAGAAAAGGGTGAAAATTAGGTGTACCTAATAAAGTGGCGACAGAAACAGAAAGTGGTCAAAGAAAGCTAATTTTGCTACAATTTGCTAATATAACCTTGATTCTGTACACAATTGTTAATATACAATCTATATAATAAAAGTTATGTAGGCCTAATCTACTTGTGAACGCTGTGTTTAGGAGCTGATGGGAATATAACAGCAATTTACATATATACTGCATTAGAATAAAGAAACGGATATACTGTATGCAGTGTAGTTACAGAAAAGTCCACATATAGAAAAAGGCAAAATGTGGAAAGTACAGCCTTTGACCTCATGCTCTAATTCCACACAAAGAAGGGACACTTTCTTTCTAAAAACCACAAGCATTTTGAACAAAAGTAGGCACAGATCCTCTCACCTTCAGGGTATGTCATTAATGGTTTGGCAAAAATCCTTTTATCATACCAATAAAACTTGAATCTTGAACCTCTTAAGAGAAATCCAAAGGGGGGCGACCTGCGGTGAAGAATTGCAGAATTCATTCAACACAAACACACCAGGCAGAAAATGAAGATCCTGGTCAGACATAGCTTTGTTCTTCAATAAGGTTTCCAGTCACAACAAGTTTATTTCCAGACAGGTCATTACAAAACACAGTCCTACTTTATATTAAGTGGCCTTAACCAATATGTACTTGCACTGAAATTAATCCTTTGTTACAATGTACTTATTGTATCAATATACGCATTT